AAAACCTTTTTTTCTTTTCAATATATTGTGAAGTGTGAAGTAATAACTTTGTTAATTCTGAATCTATATACAGTAAAACCTTGGATTGCGAGTAACTTGGTTTGCGAGTGTTCCGGAAGACAAGCAAACATTTCTATTAGGTTGGTGCAAAAGTAATAGCGGTTTTTGCTATTACTCATAATGTCAAAAACTATTACTTTTGCACCAACCTAATAATATATTTCAACTTCGTAAACGAGCGATGTCTTGCAATATGATCAGTTTGTTTCCAGAACAAATTATGATCACAAACTGAGGTATTATTTTAGACCATAGACATTTCTGAGTCTTTCCTTATAGAAAATTCAGTGTTTCTTCTTTTTTAACTTTAAAATACAGAAATTATTCTGGGATAACTTTTTAAGATTTTAGTTAACAATCTGATTTTTTCCAAGTTTCATAAATATTTGATTAAAAGAAAAAAATGTATATCAGTTTAATCAACTAGACTTTGCATAAATATATTATGCTATCCTAAAAATGTCAAATCACTAACAAGACATTTAACTGACAGAGTTCATTTTATTTTTCCATATGAGAATAAAACATATTTGCATGAAACATCTCCCACACAACGTACAGCTTTCCCTGTGGTTTGTTAATATGTTTGCAAATAGCATTGCACCTGCTTTTATATAAACATCTTTGATGCCTAGAGCGTCAAATGCATCAGAGCATTGTCAGAGAAATAGCTGCATAACAAATAGGTCAAATGGATATAATGAGATATGTTCTATGATTGAGCACCTGACACAGTAGCCAGATATTTCTCAGATGAGGAATACCTCTTCCTGATCAATGTGCCTTCCAAACTGGGTCAATCTGACATGCCCTTTGGCTATCTATCTCATCTGGGTGATTGGTTCGATTTCTCACACAACTCAATGGGTACTTGTGCTTGCAAAGAAATTTGTTGATTCCATTTCCTGATCTATTCACACCGTAAAGGAAAGTTGGAGCATCTGACCCTAAAAATCTTAATTTTCCCTCATGCATGCATGAATGAGTAGGCTAAGTCATGAATTCAAGAATTATTTTTTTGATTATTGGTTTAATATAAACTCTTAATTTTTTCACAAACATTTCACAATTTTGTGTTTTTATGCACCTTCAAATGCCAGACCTAATTATATCAGTTAACTTCTTTTTAACTAATAGTGTATTCCAGAGCAGTATTTGTTGTTGAAATTTCCATTGTACCAATCCCAGAAGCATCATTATGAAAAATCTATGAACACAATTAAGGAAAAATCCTTTTGAATGCTGACTGTTTTATGGACATTAGGTTTGGCATGGCTTATTCAATAGGATAATTACTCTTTATAATTAATAAATCAACTCAGAAAAGGTTTTGGTTAAGTGTTTCCACTAAAGTTCATATCCTCTCTCCAGCTATAGTAGTGACACTAGTGCCTTATAGACCCAGATAGCGATACTAAAATAACAAGGCTCTCCCTAAAGTGGAAGCAATAAGGTGCTATATAGATTTGGACTATAACATCACTAGGTACAGTTTATCTGCTTTGCCTGGTACTCAGCTTAAATGTTTTATTCCCCTGGGAAGCTGTCCCTGAACTTCCCAAGCCCATATCTTTTCTTTCCTTCTTTCTTTCTTCCTTCCTTCCTTTCTTTCTTTCTTTCTTTCTTTCTTTCTTTCTTTCTTTCTTTCTTTCTTTCTTTCTTTCTTTCTTTCTTTCTTCCTTTCTTTTCCCTTCCTTCTTTCTTTCTTTCTCTTCCTCTTTCTTTTCTTTTTTCTTTTACTGTATCTTGCCTATGACATTTTTATAGCACCTCTTATATCACCTCAGTTATGTGTAGCTTTCTCTATGTTTAGTCTCAGAGCCCTTGGACACAAAGGGATGTGGATTTTATAACAGCATTTTCAGTATCTTATATATTTGGCCCATAGTGTAATAAGTGCATGTTGATTAAATAATAATAGGATTCTTATTTAATAAGACTCATATAGAAAACATATGATTTGGAGTTCCCTGCTATAAATGGGAATTTGTTAAACTGTATGAAGTGTTCAGGTTTTGAATCTGATCAATAAGGGCATACACAGATGTGGCCAGTGGGAATACAAAGATTTGGGGGAAAGGCACCTGTGCTTCAGATTATCACCTTGTGACCCATTTCAAACTCAAGGAAAGAAGAAATTAACATTGTCCAAAGCAAGAATGTTGAAGGTTGAGAATAAAGGTATTCTAGAACTCATTCAGACAGAACTGGCACTGATTATTTTAGGTAACCAATATACTGACATGATTAAGTTTATAGAGACTGCCTACATTTCTGCTTCCCAGCTGACTGTATACCTAGCAATGCCATATTATTGGGGTGATACCACCTTCAATGGGAAAAATTTTACCCATATAGATTCTAAAATCACAAGTCAAGTGTAAAAATATTTGTTCCCAGAACAACAAATAGAATTTTACATATTCAGTTACATCAATCTGTGGGGGTGAATAGAATCTTAATTTAGTGAGATCAGTGAAAACAGTTTATTCCCCAAATAATTCCCCATCAGTTGCCATTATCTATATGCATACTACATATTCCTTTTATCTCAGACTTTTTGCCCAGTCTTTCCCTCCAGGGCAATCTCCACACACTAAGAACTCACTGTCCGTAAGGCTATGCAGCCATGATTCCAACTTCTGTAAGGCTCACTGTGACCTTAGTCTTGAGTTTCTTACTGAAGATCTACATAATAACCTATTATTTTTCACCTACTAGGAACTAAATTAGTTTAAATGTTTTAATAGATCTCTTAACAAATACCTTCTTTCCTTAGCAAATTTTTATACTATATGGTACCAGTGTCACAGGAAAAGCCCAATAGAATGGTGACTGGTCCATTTCTTTTCACTGTGATAAATAACATTGATACAGAGGTTTCTGCTTACTATAACAATGACTATACTGCTTGTGGAGTCTGCAGCTACCCCATCCCCACGCACCAGCCATGCAATGTTTCCTCTATCTGCACTCATTCTACTACATAACTTCTGAAGTCTTTATTATCAAACATGCAATCATCATAGTTCAGTGGGGCAAATTTCTCTATCCACTATGCCTAGTCCCCAGTATCCTCAAAATGACTGTTGATGCTCAGAGTTCTCTGCTGTTAATCCCCAGCATCATCAGTGAATGAGGAAAGTATAAACCACGTGTCCTTCTCAACAAATAATTTATACTCTACTGTATGACCATGCCCATAATTTTCTATAATTCCTAGCTCGTGATTACAACCTCCTTCACACCAACAACTTGTTTGAGTACTCCCATGATGACTATGCATTGATTCCATTGCAACAGCCATCCTTTATTTCTTGCTTCCACATCTATCTTACATTCTAGGATGGTTCATTTGAATATTACACTGCATTTCGTTGCCCTTAGGAGTTTTCATGACATCTATCTAGAAAAGACAGACTCAAACCTTCAGGAATTGAGCTGTCTGCCTGCTTTTTCTATCATCTAATACCCAGATAGTAGAACATGAATGAATAATACCACACAACAGGGAAGAACAATCCCAGTATAAATATGCAATCACTAGTCTCTAACTAATCTTCATATGTGACTACCAACTTGACATCTTCTCTCAGCTGTAACAAAGGCATCCAGAGCTCAACATTTCCAAAGCTAATCTAATAAATATCTCTCATAAATCTGTTCCTTTTCCAGTATTGTTTTTAAGTAGATGAACCCATTTTTTATCTAAATATGCAAACTATAAACCCTGCAGTCATCCTAAGAATTTCCCCTTTCTAACCTTCAATATCAGTTTCTCTGAAATACTTGTTGAGATCATGTTTTAAATATCTATGAATTTTCCCCCTTACCTTCCCTATCACACTAGTCTAAGCTAATGTCATTTTGCCTGGCATAGGTGTTAAGAAACTTGCAATTTTATATTTATTGGTTTTATTACCTGATTATCATCTGTAATCTTACTAGGCTATAAGCTTCATCAAACCAGGGGGGGGGTTGTCCATTTTTCCTCACTATTTTATCACCTGCATTTTATATTTTTTCTTGCTTACAGTGAGCACTTGATAAATATTTGCTGAATGAATGGGTGAATGGACAAATAAATACAAGTAAATGTATAAGTATTATCACAATATAGTATCATGTATAAAGCAAGTATTCATATTCATACCATTCAGAAAAAAATCTGAAGTTCAACAAAAGTCAAGCAAGTAGAGAATTATGAATTTGAAGTGAAATTTAGGTCTTTTCAATTTCACGAACTTGAACTCCTGAGGATCTTCCCATTTTAGCATCATGACGCATATCAACCCCAAGGAATACTTATACTGATAATATAGATTTTCAAAAGTATGTCTAATTCTTAATATAATTATCGATGAATATAGAGAATAATTCTCATGGAAGGCATCTAATGCTTTTAAAATCATGCTATTCACTGCAAGTACATGCAAAAGAAATATTTTCTTTTCTAAAAGAAAAGTTTATATAGCCCATACTCCATTTTAAGATCAGTACCAAAATGTATCCAAAGTAATCATCATGAGGAAGAAAAAATAATTAGAGCAGAAACTAACAAAATTGACATTTTTAAAGCATCACAACTAATTTTTATCATTTATTGTGTTGTCTTATAAACATTGTGCTAAACAATTTACACCTGCAGTAACAGGAATGATTATTACCCCTATTTTATAGATAAGAAAATTGAGAATTAGAGCAAACAATCAAAGCCAGGAGCCAAATCCAACTTCTGTATGATTCCACATTTAACATTAAATTGCCTTCCCAATAAGTTTTTCATTTTGAACCATTACTTAGTGAAAAACTGACAAAAACACTTTTTACTACTAATAGAATCTAGTAATGAGACATTTCAATTACAATCAGATGGGGAAGGAGAACACTTCAAACTTAATTTTTTCAAGATATTTAAGGAGAAAATTGTTTAGTCTTACCCATGAATTCGATCCCCAAGTGGTCTGCTACACCGAAGTCAGCAAGTAAGGAAGGGAAAAAAGAAAAAGAGAAAAAGATTAGAAAAAGTTTCATATGAAAATCCATGCTTATAAGACTGCCCTTTCAAAGCAAAGAATGTGTCTCAGTTTTAACCACCATGTTTGCTTGAGAAAGAAAATTTACAGATTGCCAACAATTAGGAGTGTTCTGAATGCTGATTGGTATTTCCCTGAAGCCAGAAACTTTAAGTGCAATAATATTGCATCAATTACCAAGTATACAAAGTATAACTTTAACCCCCCCAAAAAGAAAGGGAAACATGTTCACACAAAAAATATCTGGTATTAAAGTTATTTTTAGAACTCATGACATTTTATGTAAAATAACTACATATTCAAAATAAACTTATTTGGACCTCTGTCCTATGAATAAGTGAGAAAAGAACTTCCGAATGACAGGCCTTCACCAGGCGCTTCTTACCTTCACACAAAAGCAATGGTGTTGGATTCTTTTTTATTGTATTTGTTAGATGAGACAACTGCACTTCAACGAGATTAAAAAACTTACACAGGCCCCAAAAGATGAGGCAGATCCATGTTACAACTCCAGTCGATCTGACCCCTGAGTCCTATGACTATTAAACTTGACAGTGTTTCCTATAAAAAATGAATGACATCACTTTGTGAAGGGTAAAACTGTCTATTACATTGTTTTGCACACTTAAAACTAATAAAATAAAATTAAATTAAAAAATGAATGACAAATGTGTCTATATCTGTTTTATTGCGTGTGGACAGCAAACAGTTTTCACGAGTTAATGTCTGTCTGTGATAAGGAGGGTAAAAAACTGGGCCTGGCTATGCCCAGTCATTCAGCTGTATTTAAATGGTGCTTTCTTTTAATCATTCAGTATTCTCTCATTCACCTTTCAAAGTCATCACATTATTTAATTGTTTCTGTTGCAGTAATATAATTCTTAAATGAGAATAAATAAAAACAAAAAGTATTGCTATAATTATATTTGTTTCTGAGATTAATTGTTGGACTCCCTTTTATCAATTCTCTATTTAGCAAAGAAGCTTTCCGTTTTAGAAAATATGTATTTAGTTATCTTGAATATTTCAGTTCTTTTCCTATTTGAAATAATTCATTTTTTAATTTCATTGTGGTAAAATATATATGACAAAATTTGTCATTTTTAACTACTTTTAAATGTACAATTCAGTGGTGTTAATTACATTCAAAATGTTGTGCAACCATCACTACTATATTTCCAAAACTTTTCCATCACCCCAAAGAGAAACTGCACTCACTAAGCAATAATTTCTCATTTCCCCCTCCCCTAGGCCCTGACAACTTCTAATCTACTTCCTGTCTCTATAAATTTGCCTGTAAATAGTTCATTTGTAAGTGATTAGGACATATTTTAATTGAGAATGTCTCATACTAAAAAATGTTAACAAAGTTTTAAAAACATAGATGCATTCTGCATTCCTTTCTTTACATGGCTTTTGTTTTTTGTGTATGTGTTGTTGTTATTGTTGTTTTTTGACTGCTTAGTATATAATATAATAGCTATCTAACACACATTCATGAAAAGATCGGATTTTTGTTCTCAAGTAATTCAGAAATCAGTGGGAGACCACAAAGAAAAAGTTCTGGCAATTCTTAGTAATAGTGCTAAAATGGAAAACCAGGAAATATATATCAGATGGAGAGTCCAGGGACCCATAATGTTGCTCCTGAGAGAAAGCTAATGTGGTACATAAAAAAATGGAGACTGTAAAAAAGTTGGCAAGACTATATTTGAGTTCTAATATGAATAAGAAGCATTATGATGCGTGCAGAGAGAGACTAGAACTGTGGTATTTAAAAACAGGGATTTGGGTGAGATTACTTGTCATGAGGCTAAATGGAAGAAAAAAAAGATTTGTATTAAAAAATTTGGGGGAAGGGGTCCAAGATAACAGATTAGGTAAATGCAATGGCTGCTGCATCTCAGGATCACACTAAAATTACAAATAAATTAATGAACAATCAACCGCAAGAATCATCTGAAGACTAACTGAATATATCCCCTATAATGAAGTGTATAAAGAAGAGGCCATATCAAGATTGGTAGAATGGGCAGAAATGTGAAACAGGCTGACCCAAAACCCACAGATAATGGTTGAACCCCAGGAGAGACACCTCCATGGCAGAGGTCCTGCCAAAAGAGGGAGGGGTCCCAGCCCAACACCAGGCTCCGCAGCCCAGGGGTCCTGTGCTGGGAAGAGGAGTTCCCACAACATCTGGCAGTGGAAATCAGTGAGGACTCTTCATCCCAGTGAGATGGAAGTTGGCTGGAAACCCAGACACCCTCTTAAAGGGCCCCCACACAGACTCACTCACTTGCAAACACTCACCAGGTCTCTGGTGGAGGGGCAGCAACTCAAGAGGCACAACAGACATATGGGGAAAGACTGAGTTGGGTGAGGGTTGGAGGAGCAGCAACTATTGTCCCTGTGTGGGCTTGCCTCACATGTAGCCTACAGGAGGGCATCATCTTTTCTGTGTTGGACCCACCCCCAAAAGGCCAAATCTGAGACTGCACTGGTCTGGTAAAATCTGGACAGGCTCCCCACCTTGGTGGCGCCCTAGTTCCCTGCCCCACACAGCTTGTACTCCATCACCCGGGGGACTCTCAGCTACTGAGTGGCCAGCTCCACCCTTTTAAAGCAGCGGATGGCCTGCGGCAGGCCACATAACTTTTGGTGGTGAGCAGTAAGCCACCATCTGTGCCGCATCCTCTCTTGGGACCTAAGGTGAGCAGCGGCTGGTCCCGGTGTTTTCAAGGCATTTTGTGAAGTGCTCAGAGGCTAGGTACTGCCCGAGGCAAGCAGTGGCTGGCTATGTGTTCTCAGGGCATTTGTGAAGAGGTCGTAGACCAGGCATTGGTGCAAGAACCGAATCTTCATTAACTTTGTAAAAATCACTGGCCATGTCTCGTGATTCTCTGGGACTCCACCCTGTCCAGCTAGTGCTGCATTGCTGAGGGCACTCTCAACACTGGGTCAGCCAGCGTAGCCCACTAACCTAAGGAGGCTCTTTCAATACAAGCAGCTGGCAGGTTGCAATAGGCCTAGAGGATCCCGGGACTTCTGCTAAGCTGCCCCAGGCCCAATACTGGTGGCAGCCAGGCCCAATATTGGGGGCAGTGAGGCCCAATATTGGGGGCAGTGAGGCCACCCCCAAATGCCTCCAGGTCCAGCACAGGAAGCAGCCAACCACATATAGCTTTGAGACTCCTACCAGGTAGCCCCAAGCTGGTCACAGGCAAGGCTGAAATTGGCCTGCGTGGGAGTTCCTCTTAAGAGACACCAGAAACAACATATCCAGAGGCCAGCATCAGACCACACTATAGCATTACCTGGTTAGTCCCACAAGTGGCACACCCAAAGAGTGGTCTCAACAGGCATAAGAGCCCATAGGGGAGAATCCCTCTCTGAGCAGCTCATATACTGTGGGCAAAACCAATCCACACAGTCAATCCCACCCACTGACAAGCCAAAAGCAATCACAGCTCAACTACAAAAGGAGAACTCACACTATGCACTCAAATGACACTCCTGGAACACATGCACAGGTGATCAGGGAGACTGTGCCACTGGACCACACAAGACACACACTATATAAGGCCACCTGGAAAGACTGAGAGACATGGGTGATCTACCTAATACATAGAAGCAAACACAGAGAGGCAGCCCGAATGAGGAAACGAAGCACATGTTCCAAATAAAAGAACAGGAGAAACCTCCAGAAAAAACCCCAAAATGAAATGGAGGTAACCAACCTACCAGAGACAGAATTTAAAACACTGGTTATAAGAATGCTTTAGGAGTTTAGTGAGAATTTCAACAAAGAGATAGCAAGCATAAAGAAGGACATAAAAACCATACAAAGAACCAATCAGAAATAAAAAATACAATAACTGAAATGAAGAATACACTAGAAGGAATCAACAGCAGATTAGATGAAGCAGAGGATCGAATCAGTGATTCAGAAGACAAGGTACAAGAAAACACAACACCCAATCGGAACAACAGAAAGAAGAAGGAATTTAAAAAATGAAGATACTTTTAGGGACCTGTGGGACAACAACAAGCATAACAACATTCACATAATAGGGGTACCAGAAGGAGAAGAGAGGGATAAAGGGATCAAGAACCTATTTGAAGAAATAATGACTGAAAACTTCCCTAACCTGGTGAAAGAAATAGGCATACAAGCCCAGGAAGTACAGAGATGGGTGGGTCACTTCATAAATTATATAAATGCCTAACCACTGTGCTATACACCTGAAATTAATATAAAAGAATATTCAATAATATTGAATGTCAATTATAATTTAGACACACACACAGACACAGGATGTAAAGTAAAGCATAGGGAATACAGTCAGTGGTAGTGTAATAGCTATGTATGATGTCAGATAAGTAGTAGACTTTTTGGGCTGTGTAAATGTCTAATCATTATGCTGTTTTGTACACCTGAAACAGATGATAGATAGATGATAGATAGATGATAGATGATAGATAGATAGATAGATAGATAGATAGATAGATAGATAGATAGATAGATAGATGATAGATAGATTTTTACATAAAGCCAGAATAGAAGGTGCAGAAAGGAAATTCAGGGAAGAAAGTGTAAAGAAATATGGAAAGAGAGTACCCAAAATAGTAGAGCACAGTTGTTCAATGATATGACTGGGCAATCAGAAAGCCAGTAGCCTTAGCCTGATTGAAGAAGAACTTGCTAGTGGAGCTGAGATGGCACTGAAATGGTTGGCTGTTATCTGTTTTGCCTGTGAATATAACCAATGGTGACTCTTTATTCTTTGCACTACCGTAACTGTTCCCCCTCTATATGAGATATGGAGAATCAGGCTTTGTATGTGTGGAGATTGCACTGAGAAGTGTGTAGCATGTTTGATAAATTTGAAGTCAGCCATAATACTTTAAACCACAATGAATTTATGACTAGT